ATATCGCATTTTGCGTAAAATTAAAAATTGACTTTTCAATACCGACCAGATACAATACTGATTTTGGCAGAAACTCAATATTTTTAAAAAATGGCGTTTATCGCATTTTGGAACCAAACTCTTCATATATATATATATATATATATAGAGAGAGAGAGAGAGAGAGAGAGAGAGAGAGAGTATATATATAATAGTAATGTAATAATTAATTTATGTATAAAATTAGACAATAATTGTATAAATTCAATAAAAAACATTTTAAAGAGGTCATTCTTTTTTTTTAATGGATTTTCTATTAAACCTGCTACATTAGCCGTTTAAAAACAGTTAAACATTTAAAAGTGATTCTTGAAGTGTTTCCAGTGCACTTCATGAGGAATCCTGACCTAAATATACCTAATGTACTCATCTGTTTCATATTAGCATCACTGAGGGATCATGATCCTTTAGTTTCTACAGTCTCTTACGTTATAAATGCCATCTGTGTGATATAATGGAGAATAAACAAAAAAAAGACAGATGAAGAATGGAATTTTTATGTGCATGGCAATTAAGGAAAATGGTTCAAATCCACTTTAAGTGGCAGCCGCTGTTATCTGTGTTTGGGTATGGTGCTGTAATCCAATCAGCTTTGAGAAAAGAACACTTAAGCAGTAAAGTCTAACTTGGTGACATAACACAAGACGGCAGATAAGATTAAGCAAAAGAGCACAACCGATAAGCATTCAGGTTAATGCAAAAGGAGCCACTGACCCAACAAATATCACAAGAACAACCTCAAACTTCTATTTCAAAGCCTTGTACTGACACTGCATAAACTTCTAAAGTAAAAACAATCCTTTAAATGTAGACAATTGTGTATCGTTTTTCATTTTTGACTTAAGCGTACGTAATGAGGTGTAGCCATGTTTCTAATCGCAAATTAATTTTCCCTCAATGATGTGTCTGTCTTGTCACAGTGATGAGCAGAAGGGTTTCTGGTCACATGGTTGGCATTTGTAGGCCAGAGTAAAGAGCAATGATTTAACACCTCACATCTTTTACATAACACATACCCGATGTGAAATCCTGATAGCTTCATGCAGATAGAACAGACTTACACTGTAGTTTCTGGTAAGACAGCCGGTCAGTGTGTCAGTAAGTCACTTTTGGTTTCTGCTGTCTGGTCGTCATGAAACCAACATAATTCATGCCATGTTCACTTTAAAGACCGCATTGATGCCAAACCAAACAGTAGGAGAGGCAAACGGCAATGCTCTAAAATAAGATCCACTCATCTAATGGCTCTAAATGGGAAAACAGCTTCTTTTATGTATGTATTAGTCTGTGTGCGTTTTATTAATGTGAAACGATTATCGTCATTTTAGTGTTGACTAAATAAAAAGAAAGGCTTATTATTAGAACAGAGAGGATGTGAGTTACATGAAGACCGATGACACAAAACAGACCATGCAAAACGTCCAGGATTTATATTAAAAAAAAAAATTCCTGACAAAGTGCAGATCTGCTCTTTTTCAATAGAGTACATATATAACCCGCTACAGCCTTCCTGTCCTCAGCTGCCCTGTGAACATGAGCCACGCTATGTATATTTAAACACAGCCCCACCTCACTACAGTATGTCTGGACATGTACGCCTGCAACTGCCTTAAACATTTGTCCAGAGAGCAAACAAAAAGGGAGAGACAAATAATCACTTTGAGCTTACAGGCAAAGAGTTTGGATCATTAGTTAAATTATGAAGAAAAATGATTATGATTTAATATTTACTCAAACCCAGGTGAAGAGTAAGAAGAAGCCAAGAAGCTAAGGCTAAATAATTCTCTGTTTTGTTAAGATTTTGCAAGGAGAGACAGAATTAGTTCATTTAATAATTAATGAATGCATTACGTTTTCACAAAAAAAAGCAAAAACTAGGAAAAAAAGAAAGTGCAGAGTGGTATTAACCATGAAGTGTAAACTTGTCATTGTTGTGGTAAATTACTGTCATAGTGATTATGATCAGTTAAATTTATAATATATTTTAATAAATAAATACTATGCACCTGAATTATTATTATTACTTGTCATGTCATACTTGTTGTTGTCATGGTAAATTTCTGTCATAGTGCTTATAATCATTTAATTACATATTACATTTAATTATAAATGAATGAATGCTTTGCTCCAGAATTTAAATAATTTCCCTATGTGAGAGGAAAGAAAGTACAGAGTGGAAACTGTCTGGAAAAGCAATGTGTTATGTATTTTATCATCATGATACATAAATATCTGCTGCTGAGAAATAATCTGTCAAGAGTTTTGGGGCTCTCACTAATTTTATAATAATATTTTACAATTTTTATTATAAAATAATATATAATACAATAAACATTTCCATATAATAACTACATTTGTAATTAATTTTATATGTAATTAAATTCATAACATGATATTTTGGTATAATATAAAAGCATAATAGAATTTAACTTGACGCAACAATGGGTTTAAATTTTGCATATTTTGTGTACAACTGTAATTAGGCGAGACTGTTGTAATAAACGCTTTTTATTGTCTATATCAAGATCGGAGTTCAAGTTCAAACTCAAGTTCATGATGGAAGGCAAAGGCGCGGCGTTGCCACCATCACCAACAGACCGCATGGGTCTGCACGGCTCCAGAAAAGCGCCTCCCCTCGTTCGCGCTCTGTCTCTCCCTCATTCCCTCCTGTGAATGCTGTGTAATGCTCAGTGACATAACTACGTCAGTAGAACAGCAGGTTTGAGCGCTGCTCACACGGCCGGCCATGCTGCCCAGCGAAAACAACAACACGCAGCCGACACCTCCATCTCCAACATTTACACTCAACAACATCACAAGAACCGCATAAAGCGAGGATTTACCTCACAACAAGTCGTGTTTAGAGAAACATTAACGTTTATTAAAGTGACTGCAAGCGTCACCACATTTTATTCACCAAATACATGTAGTATTTATATTTTCAGGGGATATATTATTGCTCGATACAGAAAAACATTCCACTAATTTGACTCTCATGACGTAAAAAAACAATCCTGTCACACATGCCAGAATCACGGCCTGCCGCTTCGGTGTAAGAATTCCATGATTTTGAAACATTTTTACATCTTACTATGAATAACTGTAACGTTTGACAAAGAATGGAACGCCAAAAACGCGTTACAGAGTAACAAGTGGCCGCGCGGCAACTGTGACAGGAAAGCAGTGCATGAAACATTTCTATAGCTAAATGCTTAAAAAACTATTTAAAGGGCTTTTTAAAAACAACATGCAAAGTTGACGTGATAGTTACATGTTATGCAGTGCTCCGAATATCTTACCTCTCATTTTGACCGCGGTTTCTTGATTCTCCAAAGTTCATGGGGTGCGGAGCAATATTGTTCGGACTAAGTAGCTAACATAAGACAGCTACCTAAATGAAACTTTTCAGTTCCGGCTGTGAGCATTATTAAGAAAATAAAATATAAGCGAGCTCCTCAAAGTAAATTCGCGTCTCTAAAGGTCTGCTGTTGCGCTCTGGGTACAAAAAACGAAAGTCGCTTTCGACGCGTGTTGTGGCGCGGTATGAATCGTCGTCGTCCTCCCTCTCTCCTCTCACTCTACCCTGCTAACCTACTTTCAGACGCGTGGACTCTCACATGATCTCACTGCCGCGCACTGCTCACGGGGACGCGCATCCAGTCAGCGCTTAAGGTGGGACTATATTCTACTATATTACTATATTACTATATTCTATAGAATTCGGCCATTCAGAGTGCTTTTCTCATTGTAACACAATCGAATTGAATTAATTTAATGTAAACAAGGTTCAAGAGGACAAAGGACTTTGTCATAAAGGCATAAAATAATTACATAAATTATTAATTCTATACATTGCATAAAATATTTACATTTACAAAATTCTCTACATTTTAATGCAAAAAAAAAAAGATAAATTAGAAATTAATATTTGTCAGTTAATAAATAATTAATAAGGTTATGAGGGACCAACAAAAAAAAATACTATGGAATTCAATAGCTACCGTCAACTCTATGGTTTTTAAAGGGGTCATATGATGTTGCTAAAACTAACATTATTTTGTGTATTTGGTGTAATGAAATGTGTTTAAGGTTAAAAAAACACATTATTTTCCACATACTGTACATTATTGTTTCTCCTCTATGCCCCGCCTTTCCTTTCTGAAACGCTTCGATTTTTACAAAGCTCATCGGTCTGAAATAACTTTTATAAAGAATATTTCTTTGGATTTGAGACTTTAGTCTTTGCAACTTTACAGATCTTCTTTATGCACCAAGAGCTTGTAACACTCCAAAGAGAAAGTAAAAATTTAAATCGCATCATATGACCCCTTTAAAACAGGTTTGGAACAAGTGGACGGTGAATAAATGATGACAGAATTTTCATGTTTGGGAGAACTATCCCTTTAAAGTCATTATTAATTATGTTACTTTCCTGTTAAACAGGCTACTATGAAGCAGCTTTGAAACAATCTCTATTGTATAAGGCGCTACAAAAATAAAGGTGACTTGGAGTAAATAAGCCTTGGCTTGGCTTGTCTAATGTCAGCTAACTCACTGAGTCATTTTACAGTGTACAGCTCACTGGAAACATTTGAAATGTCACATTTAAATGTTGGTTGCGTTTAAAACTATATAATCAATGCCAGTTCTTTCCTATGCGCACGCCACCAGACACCCATTAAAGAGACAGGATTGCTCTGCAAAATGGCCCTTTTATTAATCAAACCAGGCAGAAGAAATCCCTCAGCCAAAAGGCATAAATGAGAGCTGGTCCTATAATAGTTATGGCAGATGGTTATGTAATCCTTGGAGGCCTGCTGGAGGCTTGAACAGACTAATTATTCATTATTAATTTATTTTTGAGGGGGCCATTAACCCTTTAGTGAGTCTAGAGCTTATCAAATGAAATATTGTCAAACTCTTATAGTTGCAAAGGAGATATAGTAATTATATTTGAACATTTCAGACAACCAAAAACACGTGTTCCACGTTATATCAACACAATCCAAGCACCTGGGCACCAAATAATGAGCCAATATGTGAGAGAAAAACACAAATCCACATGCGCCTCCATGTGCATTTGATCGGTGCAGCTTTCAAAATCCTAAATGGCAATGATGAGAAGAGAGTGACTGTGTGTGGAAAAGCGTGGTGATGCAATTCTCTGGCAGGGCTCTTATGAAACACAGAGAGAAGATTACAGTAAGTAGGTTAGTGGAACAACCAGAGAGCACACAGCATTCAATGCGGCTCCCTGTCCTGTTTATTTCTATTCGTTCAGCAGACTGGCCTGCTGCGCCCCCTGCTACTATCTATCTTTCATCTCTCCTCTCATCCGCTCATATCTGTCTCTCTCATGCAATAAACATCACGCTTGCAGAATTCCACCCATAACATAACAGCCAAAGAGTTTTATTCCTGATTAAACACGTTATGGATGATAACGTCGATATAAAAGATGTCTATTGGAACATCTTTTGCCTTGTTAAGTTCTTTCGATTTTCTACAAGTGTTCCTTCATGCGTGTTCGGTAACTAATAGCAACAGCCTTGACATTCTGACCCTAAACTATGCAAACGCAGTTAGCGAAAGGATGGGGGTAGGGCTGAGTCAATCCAATCGCTACAACGGGTTTGATCTGTAGAAACAGTGAGACAGAATATACAGTGGGTATAGAAAAGAATCGTAATAATAATTTGCTAATAATTATAATAATAATAATCTTATTGTATTTGTATGACCAAAAAGTAAGATGAAGTTAGCTTGTAACGTAAATCTTTATAACAGAATAGCAGAGTATTTACATGAAATGCATATAAATGCCAGCTGTTGCTCTATATTTCCTAATAATATGTCTTAGTAAGATTACATTTAAATGCTTAGTTTTATGATCAAAGCTCTGTAGTTTTTACTATGGGGGCAAAACATAATGCAATGCAACACAATGGCTGACAGATGAACAAATAAGCACTCCTCAAAAGCCTGATGGTTCATATTTGATACTCACATTTTAACATAATTTAAGTTTCTTGAATCAAGTAAGTGTTCATCTTGAAATATTACAAACAATATAAAAGTTATTCTTACGTTTACTTTATAAAAATCAGTAAAGATTTCACAGCAATAAGACAGATGAACCACAAGCTAAAAGTGGACGTTTTTACAATTATAGCCTATTAAAAGGCATTTTATTTGCTAAAAAAGAATGAGCTATCAATCAGGTGACAGATATAATGTGGAAGATCATGCACAACTTTCAGCAAAGTTTTGATCATGTTGATCAGATATCTTAGAAATTTGCATATCAAATATGATACAGTAAGCTTTAGGTTTAAATATAAAATATTTGTAAAAATCATAAAAAAAAAAAAAGCCCTTAAAACACAGTCTACTAACCACAACATCTATCATCTACCCAAAAAAATCTGTTAATATTAACACGTTTTATTCCTATGGAAATTGTATAGTTTTCTAAAACAATTTGTCCGTGTCTTGATTAAAATCATGCTGTTTTCTTTCTGAAGGCACTGACCGGCTTTTTCACTTCTAGTTGGTAGAAGCAGACCATGAAGCGAATGATTTGTCTGTTCTAGTATCAACAGTATTAAACTCGTCCAGCAACATTTGTGATTTGGACATGAATGAAACCTCAAATCATAGCTTACGTGAGGAACCCCACATTTAGGAACCGAAATATCATAGAGATGTGGAGGTGGAATGGTTTGACTTGAGCCCGTAACCAATCACATACACTCTCAGAGAGAAAAAAAAGGTACAAAAGCCTTCAAAAGGTACACATTATTTTCCCCAAAAGGGTACCTTAAACATAAAACATTAGTACCTTAAACATACAAAGTAGTACCTAAAGTGTACATATTAGCACCTAAATGGTAGCCTACATACAGTATTAGCACCTTTTAAAAGGGTTCTGCCCCAGTGACAGCTTTTGTACCTTTATTTCTGAGAATATAGCAATGATCCAGAACATCATAACCACAACCTAGAAACCACCCAGGACACCTTAGCAACCATTTGGCACCATGCTGGTATCAAGTCAAGTTTTACATGCTTAACTACTCACATTTTCTAAAGAAAAAAACTAGTATAATAATGTAATCGTACACTCTCAGAAAAAAGGTACAACACTGGGGTGGTACCTTTTAAAAAAAGTATACTAATATGTACCATTTATGAACAAATATGTACACTTTAGGTAATAATATGTACCTTTAAGGTACCAATATGAACACTTTAGGGGTAAATTAGGTACAAAGTGTAAATTTTTAAGGTACACTGTAAAAAATGATTGTGATTTTAACAGTAAAAGACTGTAAAAATGCTACAGTAAAAACCTGTTAACTAGTTTTTGGAAGTGAAAAAGAAAAAGTCATTGTATAATTTACAGTGAAAAACCGTAAATTGACACTCCCAGAATTCCCTGCATGACACTTCATATTTGATGTTTTTGTTGTTGAAATAACATGTTTCTTCTTAGTTTTTTCTTATCAGTTGTGTACATTATGGTTTAATCTTACATCTAATGTTGTTAAATGAATGTTTATTGCATTATTTCAGTATCATGTGTGTCACCATGATGGGGTTTAGTGTTTGTGTGAATGACACTGTGCACCTTCTATATATAAGTATTGCCCTCCTCAGCTCCTAGAAAAGCTGTTTGTGATGAGCTTTGGTTCATGACTTTCTCATCACCTGTTTTTGGTGGTTATCAGTGCATTACAATGGTTCAAAACAGATATTAGTACTTCAATATGTTGGTTTATTAACATTACATCAGTTAATGAAATACGGTATTTTATTGTGAATTTAAGTTAAGTCTGTAAAACCTAAAATGTTGCTACCATATTTTTTACGGTGAAGTTCTGGCAACCACAGCTGCCGGTATTTTACCGTAAAAGTCACAGATTTTTTTTACAGTGTACCGCCACAGTGACAACTCTTGTACCTTTTATTTTTTCTGAGAATGTTTGACAAATAATACTAATGCGTTAAAAAAAACACACACACACACACACACATTGCAACAGAGCCGTTGATGAATAGAGTGAACAGACTGATCATAAACTCATTGTACTGGGGAACGATGTACTGATGAGGTGACTGATGGGTAAATCCTCACTCTCGCTCTCCCAGTAACCAAGATGGAGGTTTGAGTGTTCACAGGGATTATGTTTGATCCTGTCTTCGCATGGCGCCATAATCCCGCTCCCCTCCTGCCCCCCCTCTAATCCCTTGCTTTTCTTCGATTTCAAAAGCTCTCTAATCTCCACTGGCTTGAGGCTGTTTATCTGATTGGACTCCAGGCAACACGCTTAGAGGTCACTGTGTCAGTGAAAACATACTCCCTCACCTTGTGTTCTCTCCTCCCTCCTCATTCTTCTCACCTTTCATTCTCTCTTGTCCCGTTCTCCTCTGTCCTTTTCTTTATTCCTCTCTTCCTCATTCTCCCTCAGCACTCATCCTCTTTGTCTCTTGGGCCACATGCAATGCACAATTTTAGATATCTTTGTCAGAATCTATTCCTTATTTAAAGGTATTCTGTAGATGTTAAAGATATTTCCTAGTATCTTTTATAATATTTGGCCAGGAATCACAATTATATACACTTAGTAGCTTTGTATGCATTTCAAGATGTGGCTTAGTGGTAGAATCCTTACTCTGATACTTTGAGCTATGTTCATGTGAATTCAAGTTAGTTTAAGTCTGGTTCTCATGGTTTCTCAATCCCAGTTACTTTTTTAAGTGATCAGACTTACAATAATTGCCGGGAAAGAAAAAAAAAACCATAGGCTCGATCTGATTGCACCTGAGCCATGTTAAAACCACCCAAAATGCCCTAGTAAATCAAATATTCTATCGACTGCATAGAAATACCATTACCAACAGAAAAAAACATTCAAAATACCTTAGCAACTGCATTGCAACACCCTGGAAACTACCCAAATGCCCTAGCAACCACCAAAATGATGATGATTATTATTATTATTATAAATCAGAGAGGAAAAATTGAATAAGAAATCTGCAAAAATGGCAATTTCTATTCATACCGGTGATATTTTAGTATTATGTACGGTATATACTATTATAATATTTAAAATTAATAATAATATTTAAAATATTTAATATTTATTTATTTTGATTTTAGTTTAGTTCATTTAGTTTTTTTTAGTTTAGCTTAGCTTATTTAGTTTTGATTTTAATTTTAGCGTTTTAGTCATTTTAATGTACTTTTTCTTAGTTCTTTTTATATTTTTCAACTCTATACAACTTAAACCTTTTTAAACCTAATTTCAACCTAAAACCTTTTTTTGTATTTTATTTCAGCTTTATTTCAATAGATGAAAACTATTTTTAATCGTTTTAGTTTTAGCCAACAACAGCAACACTAGTCCATACACAAAGTCATAGTAACGTAGCTTCGACACACCTTTGTGGAAAAGCTTTTTAAACATAACTCCACCTATTGATTCAGACTTCACACTTGTTAAATATCAGGAACATGATGTAATTGTTATCTGCGGGCATGAACCAACCTGCCAACTACAGCCAAACCCGTTTCACAAAAGCTAGTTTGACCATCAAAGAACGATCTGTCTTTTACCTCAAGAAACAAACAGTGAGAAAACATCAACACCTGCAGTTTTAAAGTGAAATGAGGAGGGACAAATCACATTTCTATCTTCACTTGACTATTGCATTCTTCAACAGAACTTGATGTAATACAAGGGAAACTTCCAAACGAGATTGTATTGTTGTAGAATATAGTATGACTGGCATGTGTGGATTTGCTCAACAAAGCATTTGACAACAACATCTGCATTTCTTCTACCTTCACAGAGAACAATATGCATGCTTAAAAAATACTAAATCACAGGAATCTGAACATCAGCAATGACAGTCACACCCATATGAAGAGAAAAACAAGCAGAATGTTAGAGTTTTGACCCATTTGGAAAAAAAACATCACCACACGTACTGCATGTCGCCAACAAGTTGGCAAACAAAAGCGGACACTAGTGATATCTCTCTGATTTGTGTGGCAAATTTCCCTGCAAATGTTCTGGCGGTGAGAGGAAGCAGATGCTTGCGGAGCCATTGAGAACACGTAGAAAGGGCAGGGACGGAGTTGCTGTGGAAACGGGTGAGCAAGCAAGCCTGTTTACCAGCGTTGAGTCAGCCAGCATGCCGTGCCATGTGAAGCTGACCCATATAGCGGCAGGGACAGGCTGATTAGCAGCAACACCCACTCGCCTCCTTGTTAGTGTACACTAAAGCATGCATACACACAGCTCTAGTATTCTTCCATTTTCTAAAGAGCTCAAAGATACAGATAGCCTAATAGAGTTGAACATAGCAACACTGACACGGTTATTGAACAGAATTGAAACACCACTGAGCAGAATCTTCTGTAGAGCTGCTTTACAGCTGAAATTGAATTTGTTTCTTTTTTTTAAACTAAGGTGCTCTAAATTGTTGTTAGAGCCTGTTAGGTGGTCAAAAGTGTCCTATGATCTCTATGATGTCTATCCTAGGTTATGTCTCAGATCTGATGCCTGTGGGATTTTCCAACCCGTTTTATGACCTACACTCTTAAAAAAACCCAAAAGGTGGTGTTTGGCAGTGATGCCATAGAAGAACCCTTTTGGGTTTCCTAAAGAAACTTTCAATGAACATGTCCATTTTTTTCTTAGTTTTAATAATCTAAAGAACCTTTTTCCACTAAAGAACCTTTTGTGAAATGGAAAGATTCCATGGATGTTAAAGATTTTTCAAGGAACCAAAGATGCCAATAAATAACCTTTATTTTTAAGAGTGTGCTAGATTAAAAACTGTAAGGTTGGTCAATAACAAAAGTAATAGCACATGATTTCATGATCCTCAATTATTTTAGTTATATTTTATGTCTGTAAACTGTAAAACATTTTTTGAAGTTGTATATACATAAATTGAAATGGAAGAAAATACTACTTCAGTCTCTCTTCTTCAAAATTTCATGTTTAATTCAATGTGTTATCTGCCATTTCTTTGTAATTATTTATGAAATTTACTAGCAATTTGTGAGTGAAAATGTTTTTATTTTCTATTGCAGCACACATAGTGTGGGATTGAAATGAAGGAAAAAGGGTATGAGATGAGAAAAAAAATTTTTATTTCAATGCTTTTGTGTTTCCCCCCCCCCCACAATTTTTTTGTGTTTGTTTGCTAAACTAGTGATGGAAACAATGTGAGGTGGGAGGAAAAACTATTCTTCTTGTGAGTGAATGCAAAGTTTCTCAGGGGAACACAAAAAAAAGTGTTATTTATCCATCACCATGCCTGCTTAGAGACTCTCTAAATTACTAATAAAATAGACAGAAAGAAAGAGAGAGAGAGAGAGAGAGAGAGAAAGAAAAAAAGAAAGAAAGAAAGAAAGAGAAACACCCCACATCTCTTCCTGTTTATCTCAATTAAACACAACTAGTTTCTGTCACTCTGATACTATTTTCTATATTTTTTGCTGCTCTCTCTCTCACCTTTTGTTCCCTCCATGTCCTTCTTTCAAACAATAGCACCCCATCCTTCGAGCTGGTCTCCATGGCTACAATTGTTCTACTTCCTTTTAATACCATCATTCTCACTTTCAGTTAAACAAGACACTCTCTCACTTTCAGTGTTTCCTCTTTCTCGTTCGCTCTCGCCTTGAGACTTCTCAAACCTCAGGGGTTGTTTAGAGGTTACACAGTTTCATTTCATTCTCCTCCCACTATCAGATTCCAGAGAATCGGTGAATTCTATAAAAGAGAGAGGGAGAAACAGAGAGATCTAATGCGTCCCGGTGGTCAGGGCTTATGTAACAGCTCTCTGAGGTATTAGTGCTAGCTTAGCATATTCATACCGCACTTGAGCTGATGTAGGATTCCAAATCAGTATTCACAGCGAGCGGCGCATGCAGCAGGGCCACGCCAGCACACAGCATATATGGAAATCGCCCAACAGTTTATGACAGCAAGCACGCTGTGCTTCACACTGGAGAGAGAGGGAGAGAGAGAAAACATTTATAGCATATTAGCAGGAAATTAAACCACAAATGACCATATGAGGGTGAACAGAATGGATGAACAGAAAGACAGACAGATATAGATAAAGACAGAACAATAGGCAGATAGACAGAAGTGATAGACAGACAGATACAATATACAGAACAATATATGGAACAACAGACAGAAAGACAGAACAATAGAACAACAGACAGAATGATAAGAGGGATAGATAGAAAGATAGACATAATGAAAGACAGACATACAGACAGATTGATAGAAAGAATAGATGATAATATATAGATAGATAGACAGACAGACAGACAGACAGCATTCTTATTGGGAAAACAAAGTGAAACCTGTTCAACAGGTAAATCAATGGGCAGACAATAAATGATGCGCATTTTCATAAACTGGTAATTTCTCTGTTTTTGGTGATGAGTAAACATGATGAACAGCAGCAAATATTCACAGCTTCATTAGCACAATGTGTGAATGTAATGTGAGAGCGCTTTGAGAAGTCATGATAAAATATGTTTTTCAAAACGCTATAAGCATCTTAAAGATAGACAGAAGTGATAGACAGACAGATACAATATACAGAACAATATATGGAACAACAGACAGAAAGACAGAACAATAGAACAACAGACAGAATGATAAGAGGGATAGATAGAAAGATAGACATAATGAAAGACAGACATACAGACAGATTGATAGACAGAATAGATGATAATATATAGATAGATAGACAGACAGACAGACAGACAGCATTCTTATTGGGAAAACAAAGTGAAACCTGTTCAACAGGTAAATCAATGGGCAGACAATAAATGATGCGCATTTTCATAAACTGGTAATTTCTCTGTTTTTGGTGATGAGTAAACATGATGTACAGCAGCAAATATTCACAGCTTCATTAGCACAATGTGTGAATGTAATGTGAGAGCGCTTTGAGAAGTCATGATAAAATATATTTTTCAAAACGCTATAAGCATCTTAAAATTAGTGTGCAAGTTCCTCAAAAAAATCCCAATAAGTAGATACCAGCAGATTAGATGCAAA